AGTTGGTATGGAGGAGTCCTCTGCCAAGACTACATGGTACAATCTACAGCCAGTGTTACCACAACTGAAGGTTTTCCAACCACTTTGAATTTGACCACTGAACACGTTATAACCTCAACTAGTCCAATGTCTTTGAAAACGGTGAGTGCCCCTGGAACAACTATGGACACCAGTGCAAAATCACCCGCAGCTACTATGAGTCTGGATTTGACAACATCACATGAGGCATCCACTGTGCGCTCAAGTCCCAGTTCAACTACGGCTTCCCCTGTTGGTCTTTATAGTACAACGGAGAATCTGCTTGAAGCCACCCCTTCAACTTTCCTTCCATTCACCACGGAAATTGACGCTCTTACAGATACAACCCCAGACATTAGATCAACAACCCAGGAACAAGTCGAGACGCTGCAGACAACCTCACAGTCAGCTACCTTCGACTTCACAACAGACAACGCGGAGATATCGGCATCTCTTGGGGGCCATACGTATTTGACCCGCCTTCAATTTTCCACAGATGAACCGTCTAATGGCGTCACAACGGTTGTTCATCCACTCCGGACGGAACAAGAGTTAGCAACAACAGTGCCTGTATTCAGGCCGACGACCCGGAAACATACTACGTCATTAGAGACAACCGTCCAACCAAGCACAACTGTCGCCAATGTTGTTGGAACAGAATCAGCGACTCTACTTGAAGATCAAACGCAATCAACAATCTCTAGCTCGGCAGCTTTTACAACACACAGAACAACTGATGCAAGTAGATCGGCGACAGAACCGGTTATTTCTCCTACAACCGCTTCAGAGGCGTGCGGAAGTCAGCCGTGTCAAAATGGCGGCGTGTGTAGTGATGTGTTTGAAGGGTACGAATGCAGCTGTCCACTTGGATTCGTCGGAGCTGACTGTGAACTGATAGACCTATGCATTCCATCACCATGTTATAACGGTGCCAAGTGTTCCATGAATTCCCACCAAAACTTCACCTGCACATGCGCTCGGGGATACAACGGCGCCCTCTGCGCCGACGACATTGACGAATGCGAGGAGGAGGGGGATTGCCCAGATAGAAGTGAGTGTGTGAACAGTATTGGGAGCTACACGTGCGTTTGTATCCAAGGGTTCAAAGGTCAAGAGTGTTCTGAAAGGGATTTCTGCGCTGATGGACCCTGCCTCAATAATGCTACGTGTGTCTCGGTAGTGGAAAAGTTCAGGTAAAATGTGAAATCATTATTATGAATGACGTCATCTTGATGATCTTTTTCACCCTAAAAATCAAGGGCGGATCTAGAACTAGATTTTCCGGGGATAGGGGGCTGAACTCGTATGGGGGACAAAAAAGTGGAAATTTTTTCATGTAACCTTATATATCCTTCGTAATGTTGAGCCTACATTTGGGGGCTTTCTATATGCTTTTAACAGAAATTAAAAAAAAAACATTTCTCTCAATTTTCACACACAGAAAAGGCTTATTTGGGGGCATGGCCCTCGTTGACCCCTGGAGTCGGTCTAGTCGAAAATCTATTGTCATCATAATAGTATGATGCTGCCTCTTGTCATTAGAATTGGCATCATAAGTGTTGACCTCAATTCAGTCTTCAAGGTCATTATGTTCACCATCACCAGAGTCGTTATCACATCACCACCATGTTTGATTTCATCACCATCCCCATAAGGCATTTTACGTATTCTCTGTCTGATTCTTTTTAACGAAAGCTGCGAGTGCAAGGGAGGTTACACTGGGACTCGATGTGAGACAATAATTGAAAGTCCGTGCCAACCATCACCGTGTCTCAACGGCGGAGAGTGTATGTTTGGACAGGGAGATGGGCAGCCTCAATGTCTGTGCGGTCAACAGTTTCTGGGGGAAAATTGTGAAATTGGTAAGATGATCTTGTATTGCGCCTAACCAGCTAGATTCTGTTGTTGCCTTTCTAGCTGCTGTGTACTGAAACATCAAGAGTCTGAATTACCCTGTGTTGCATTAAAACCATACACACGCCCCTTTTTGTCACAAAAGCCAACTTAAGTGCAACCAGCAATGATTTGATACTTTTGTATAGTACGTACTATAAAATACATGTAGCAAAAAATTCCCTCAGGTAAACAAATTGTAAAAGGCATGGAGAAGACCAGCAATTTTCACTGAAGTTACACGATGTCATTTCCAATGAAGACACAGATATTTTCTCCTGTAAAATGTACGTTGAGGGTGCCAGCGTGGATACAGAAACCTTCAAGACTGATACTGCAAACTTGATTAAAAGTACAATGGCTGACAATGCTGGCTCATATTCGACGGTGGAGGTCGTTCTTGTGTCCACCGCAGACTACGAATCCGCTGAAACCGGGTGAGTTAAACATGAAAAAACCTATTCACTGGGTACTGAAACCTTTGGATTGAAAGCTGCAAACAACCATTGTTGCTCTAACTATACTAAGTCGGACGTAAACTGTCATTTGGACTTCGCCGAGACCATACATATTCCTCATTCTGCTCCTCAATATATTTTGTGAAAGATTTCGGCACGGTCAAGTCATCGCTCCCTGATATTGTTTTTTGCAATGTTTGCACAGGTAATACGCCACAGGACTTGCTAAAATTTAGGAGCATATCTCCCTTCGGTATGCTTGTTACATTTCCCACAATGTCTTGCGGCCTTGGACCGAATTCTGTGAAATATTTTCCTTTTACCAGGGAGCCAATCACGCTGGTTACCTATCTTGTCTTGGTGAATGGCACGGCATTGACGCCGGCTGAGGTCACTGACCTGATGGAGGGGACGAGCGATGACGTAATGGATGACATCGTTTCCTACAAGCCATTTAAAGGAAATGTCTCGGCTAGATCAGAAATGGTAAGGTACACAGAGGGGCGCTGAGGGAAACTTTATTTCTTTTTATCTATATCTTAGTTGCCGAGTTTGATTTTTTTAAATGAATGAAGGCCTAATCTATGCATTGCAGTTTTGAAACTTACTTATCCCCAAACGCATGGATTTTTCTCAAATGTTATTTCAGACATGGGCACAACAATACTGGTATGTCATTCTACTTAGTACAACTGGTGCAGCAACGATCGTGCTTTTGATAAGCTGTCTGTTGTCCAGAGCATACAAGTAAGTGATCTGTATGGTAAACTAAGCCAAATAGACGCTGTTAACTGCAGTGGCATAGCACCCACACTCACATTCTTCAGCTTGGCGCGCGCGTGCATTTGGCATGTCACCACACCCGATTGGTCGAAGATGCGTGTAACGCGCGCGTACCACCTGTCCGCGAAGGTTATGCTACTGCAATAATGGCTTCTTATTCTAGTTATGGAATTACGTTATCGTCTGTTTAATTCAATGAAGATTGTTACTGCTCTCAATGGACACTGCACTTCCGACATTTTGCGAACTATGATATAAAATTGTGACCTGTTACCACAAAATGAGCTGAAAGTCGAAATTGGTGTTATTGAATTCAGCAGAAAGGGAGCTTTCAAATGGTATGTACCTGGAACACTTACGGTAAAAGTATAAGTTGACAATGTGGCATTATTCTGGCAGCTTTGTGTCTTTGTTCCTGACATTGTTTCAACATTTCAGACAAGGCACAAATAATGCTATCATCCAAATTGCTAAAAAAATGACATTTTACAATATGTGATTCTGCGAAATATTTGGAATAAAATAGGAGGTGGGCTACTCTCTCCGTTGGCATTCCCTTATTGCAATGCATTATGTACTTTTATTCCTATTTCATTTTATCTAAGATTTGTTTGCGATTGTATACAGGGCAAAGAAGCAAAAACAAAAAGTTCACAGCGTGGATGAGTGTGACGCTAGTAAAGAAGTCATGTCGGTACAGGCAGAAGTTTATTTGGCTTCTCATCTGGACGGTAACGTTGAGCAATCGACTGTCTAGACAACTTATCAAATATTTGGAAGAATGCCCTTGTATGTTTTCTTGGCAACCTGGCAACGATTAAATCCATCATGTTTCCTGCAAAAAGTGGTGCCATGAAATTCTTGGATATTTAAGGAGATTTTGGAATCAACCCCATAAAGTTTTCCTTCTCGGTTCCGAGAATAAACAATGACACCTGTCCACTGTATAAAAATAACAGGGTTCTTTACTTTCTCAATTTTGGAAGATTTTTACCAAAGTGTATGGTGAAATTTGGTTTCAGAGTAGTCTATTTCGAGTCACGAGACCTTTATCTTTCAAACTCGCATTTTTAGTAGTTTTCAGTATTACGTTTCTTAATATGCCCCTTAGCCTAGATCACAAACATATTACTACAGGAACAAAAATAAAGGAAGAGATTGAGTAATTTTTTTATCGAAAGAAATCATTTGCATAAGCAGGTCACTAATCCAAAATACATATACTTCCTTTTGTTGCATTATTGTAAATTTCGAAAGTTTGATTGTGAGGTTAGGAAATACCGTCATTATTTCGCATTCATCTTTATGGCTTCCACACATTTTAGGCAAAAGTTAATTGTTTATGGATTTTATTCTTTATCATACTTTGACAACATTGGAATGAACTTTGTTTGTGGTAAAAGATCAGTCTCGTTATTCAAAAAATGAACAGACGAAATGCGTGCAAATTAAAACTCAGCAAGTATTAGTTACCCATGTATTGGAATTTTAAAATGTGTATCTAAGCCCTCTCTCTCATTTTAAATGCCAGTTGTCATCTTTATTCAGCATTCAGTTGTGAATAATTTTCCTGAGAATCTTGAAGCAGGACCTCTAGTAATCCACACGAATGCCAGGCGGCTTACCGAGCAAAAGCATCCTTGGTATCAAGTTCATCCTCAGTTCCTCGAAGATAAGAACACTTGGACAAGTTCTTAGTGAGTTCCTCGACATTAATCGTCGTTTTTTCTCTCCATTTGTGGTATTTTATCGGTGATACAAAGGCAAAGGCCATGGAATTGGACCGGGTCCTAGGTAATTCGGAGTCGAGTGAGGAACGGTCCGTCTCCACTGTCTGGCTGGTCTCATCAGGAGAAGATTCACTCATCAGGCTTGGTCTTTTTCGCATGTTAGACTCCAGCCAGGCAGATTTCCTTGGTCGTAGGCGGAGAACCCGCCCTCCAGGAACGTCTGGCTGCATATCCAAGGCAGCCGCAGCAGGCCTTGTTTTCTGATGCAGAGCATGTTTAGGCGGGAGCGACTTAATAAACAGGTCAGAGATCCTTACCGAAGGCGACCTGGATGCCAGTTCGTTCCGCTCTTGAGTTTTCATGGAAATGACACCTAGTGCTGCTATTTTGAAAGATGGCTTCCTTGGAGATGAACTTGTACGTTTACTAAAACGATAATCATCACTTTGTCTAGAAATCTCCCTGCTTTTGGTGTCTTTTGTTCCAGGACTTGGGTCTTCTTGACGAAGAGCGCCTCCTGACACGGTGACTGGTCTTGACTCTCTGTCATTTCGCTTCAGTATACCTGTTGGGACACTGAGGGTCATCTCTGCAAGTTGTTGGTACTCCTGAACAGTCTTAGGCTGCACCAGGTAGTCCACTTCATCCTCGGATAGGTGCTTGAGCTGTGGGATAGTCCGTGGGGATCGCTCAGGGACGCTCAGCTTCAGGTGCTCAGGAGATGCCACCACTATAGCGTTCCGACGAGACGAGTTGGATGGTAGCATTCCGTTTCTGCTCCTAGGCTTAGATAGCTCTGAGAGTCTCTCTGCCGAGAGAGATACTTGGCGGGGATTTGTCTTGAGCGGACGGCGCTGGTGCTTGGAGGAATCTACTGTCTTCTCCTCGTCATCGTCCGATTTCGTATCACTTTGCAGTTTGACTGTGTTCTTCTTCAGTAGTTCCCCTGGTACATCAGCCGCGTCGTTACTATCCGACACAGCCTTACGGAAGTCGTAGGCCTGGCGCAAGGCCTGCATCTTCTCCTCCAAGCGAGCCTTTTCTCGTTGAATCAATTCCTGGGCGAAGGCACGATCCAAGAAACGGACCCGTTTTCTGGTCTGGCGGCCCTGGTTTGATGTGCAGAGAAGACTACCGGCTGAATTGGCCATCCGTTGCTGTGGAATCATGGCGATGAAGTCAGGCCTAAGATCGTCCAAAATTACCTAAATCTTTCTCATCTCAGTCGCCCGGCTCAGCATTCACCGTTTCTCTACTCATTGGAAACTAGTCGTTTATTAACTTACAACGTTTCAATTGGGTTACATTTCCGTTGGCGTCCGCTAGCTGTCGTGGCTACAATTCGTTACCGTCATCGTGTCAACAAACTGACAGGCTTCCATCACCAAGTACTGGCCAGCGTCCCAAATAGTCTGGTGTAAACACTCTATGGACCCCAAATTCTACTCCTCAAATTACCAGCTAATGATAACAACCTTTGTACACCCTGAAGAGAAAACCGTTCCCGTCAAAAACAAACCTAGATCTTTAAGATTATCGATTTCTGGTCGTGACCAGGGTTATGAATGTCTGGGCTGAATACTCTGAAGCCCGCAACGAGGAACACCAAGTAAACACAGTTCTTCAAGAGGGCGCTGTGTTTGTTTGGGAAATGAAGACTGTTTTATACATAGGCAAACACCACCGGGTATATAAAGCAGACGGGTAAGTAATACTATTATGCCTGGTTGGTTCTGAGAGAGTAAATAACAAGTTCGACAAGTACACTTTCCATTGTTGCTTTTGTTTGCCCTCGGACTGTGGGGCAACTAAACGGTCTCATTTTCATCCAGAGATCGGATCCAATGACAAAGTTTTTATTTTCAGTCTTCCACAGCAGTTCCGATTTGCTTTTATCTTAATCTTCTGAATAGACTGAATCTGGTCCAAGGATGCCGAAAACAAATCGATTAATTCTAACCATTTTTCTCTTAAAGCCACTTTATGTAAAAGTGTTCCCATTAAGTCATGGCTTGGAACTTGTGATATGCAAAGATTTAACATTGGCCAAACCCACGTCCGAATGGACCTACCTGTATTTCTAATAAGGTGATTGCATCGACAGGTAGTTGTTTTTGAATACAAATGATTCTAATTTAAGAACTGAAGTGCAGGATCTGATCTGCTGAAAGCATTTGAAGCCACGTGCAAATCCACTGGCTACGACTAGGAGTAACGCAGGAGTCTACGACAACCACCTGTTAGCCAGAAGGCTCAAACGTGTTTGTATTATTACCGACTCCTTTCAAGGATGTCTATGCCATCCTCATTTCTAACTGTTCCGATGAACTGATAATTTTCAAGTTTCCGTGTTACATCAGTAGTATTGAACGTATAATTAACAGGAAAAAAATCAACAGCTCCAGTCAAGCAAGGAAAAGTAATGTAAAATTCATAAAATAATAAATTCTGTTTATTCTGTTAGTTTTAAGTGAAAGAAAATTATCCAATGACCCTTACACAAAATTCTGTGGTCCAAAAGATTTCACCACAGTTGAATAATATTGGTTGCCTGTCAGAAACGAGTTTGGTAGCTACGCCTATCAGAGTTATTCCTATTGATCAAAAATAGTACATGTACTAGGAAACTCCCTATAGTTTAGGTTTCATACATAATAAATATCTATTTTATAGACATTATTCCGTGTCAAGAATGTAAAAATGGGCCAAAATGATAGAATATAAAAATTTAAAGAAACATTACTTTAATTTCACAATGAGTATCATGCCATACACTTATTTCAATAAAAGATCCATTTTATAACACACAGCTAAGATGACAATATATCTTACACGTAATGATCGGTGCCATGATCGCCTTGACATCGTTTATAATTTATCAACAATGTTAGTATATAACATTACACTACATATAACAGGTGTAAATATTTTCTCTCAGATTAGTTTGGATGTACTTGACAAAGAATGAAATAAGAGAATCATAAGCCAAGTACACTGTTAAGATCAAAAGGATACCTGTATCTACATGAAGTAAGATCAAACTGGCACTGAAATCAGCTAAAAAGCTGAATTCTCACACCCCGTAAATGGGTTTATTTAAATGAACAAATTAAAACACAACTCTTGGTCGAAACTTGGGTCTGATGTGTACTGTAATTCAAATATTGTCTTAAAGTGCTTTTCAATGCCTTTAATGTTTTACTTGTATGACTCGGAATAATGTTACTAGACTTGTGAAAAATGTAAATCAAAAATACAAACAGAAGTAGGACCAAAAGTATAAAGGAACACTACAAAACGATTAAGAGGAAGATAAACATACTTTAGTCAGGAATAATTCAGACTGCTTTAATTCAAAGGAAATATTTCAACTGAACTCACACGATTTGGATATTCAATGGGCACCAGTCAACCATTTTTATATTGCTCAGCACTTTGCTATTACATTAAGCTTAAGGCTGGAATTCACTGCGACTTAAACAAGAGTTTTGATTGGTTATAAGTACAGTAATGATCTCACCCATCGCACTATGACTGGATTAAACTAATGCAAATTTCCAAATTCATAAGCACAGTTATGTGCAACAAATGTCAACATCATCCAACACATCAACATGAAGTCAAATATTTATACACTTATATTCACAGTAGATATGTCACAAACATCCAAATCATTCAGTAATTTGCTCACATTGACGAAGCATGTCCCACTTAATACGTGATTTTCTCTCAAGTCAAAGCCTTAATGGATCTTCAAACAAATCACACAAGTTTGTTTTCTGAACTGCACCATGTATCTTTTTTGTACTTTACCAATACACACTAAAAACGCTATATGAATATCGGCAAAATCAAGCATCAACCAATCAACCAGGATGAATGCATCCAAATAACTTGGCATGCACATTATTTTTTTGCTAGCCTTAAATTTAAAAAGAATTACACTCAAACAAATAAACAAATCTGAAGTACAAAATAACCATATTCTACTTTCAAGTAGATAATCCAAGTATGTAAAATGTATCATTTGCACACTTCATTAGAAGGATTTACTGGACACAGAGATAAGGTGGCAACTGGATGTGAACCTCTGAACCTCAAGCTGCAAGTCAGAGGCACCAAGTACTTGATCATCCCCGTTTGTGTCTGTCAAGGTGCATGCATTTGATTTTTAATGAAAAGATGTAAAGTGAATTCTGTAGCAAGTCGACACATTACTTACCGAGTATGATCAAATTCATGGTGAAATAATTTGATAAATTATGTATTTTACATGAATGTTGTTCTCTGGCCCATCTTAAAGATTGTAGAGTCTTTGAATGATCATCTTCAGGCTACGGTTAGGAGTCAGATTGGTATGTACCAACGGAGAGTTGGTCATAGGGCTGGTCTTGTTACCTCGAATCCAGGATTCAATAGATGACCTCTCATAGGAGAAACCATCTGAAACAGGAGGGGAATGATATGGTGAAGAGACAAACAATAAACAGAACGACAATACTAAAAAGATGTGTGTTTAGTAAGCAAACCATCACAAAATGTGGTTATGAAGATGCACTTTCCTTGTTACCCCTGAATAGGATTCCTGCAACTAAAGGACAATTAAATTCCATGACTTTTTCATGACCAAATTATGAAAATCCATGACCCAATAATGCAATTTCTTGGACTACATGTATTCAGACTTTTAATGTTGCAAATAAAATCACAAATTTGAGGCACTTATATCTGATAATAGAGATCACACACAATGTTTGAAAAATTCCATGACTTTTTCATGACTTTAATCATTTTTACAAAATTCATGACTTTTCTAGGCCACGGGAACCCTGCCTGAACCTCATACCTACGAGATATTTAGAAGATCATATCAGTTCCAAGGCAGTTTAATGTTGACTCAATATTGTGCAATAACAGACTCTCAATAAACAATGGTGGGAAAACTTCCACTATTAAATTCTGCACTTTCATTTCATTATTCCCAACTTTTTACATTATTCTTGCTTTGACATCAAAATCTGGCAACTTAGAATTTTACAGTTTTCAGTAACAATAACTTACCAGCAGCAATAACTGGATCTCTCATGAGCTCTCGTGTGATTGGGCAGAGATACTCATCTGGTATGCCATCATCTATCATGCAAATACACGGAAAAACAACGTAACATTAAACATTACACTCAACGAAAGTTTTTGCGAAGCAAATATTCAATTCACAGAAAGCTTGACCATTTCAAATAGTTGCTTGACACAAACAATTGACATTTTATTCTGTAATCTCTCAATTAAACCGACAGTAAAATATTTAACTTAACTTAATGTTAAAACACAAAACTGTACATTAACTGGTGAAGCTCAATGATTTTAACTCATTTTGGGTGTAAATGACAAGTGTGAGATGAAGACAAGATGCCACTGAATGAGTTGAACAAACTACATCTTACCTAAAATTATTCCACTGCTGCCTTTCTCTCGCATGATCTGAACCCCACGAAGAATCTTCTGTCTGTGTCCCAGTGCCTCTGTTGAGTCAAAATCAATTTCAAAGAAGTCATCCACTAACAAAATATTTGGATAGCAAACTGTAGTATAATTAGTTAATCAACCAATTAATTAATTAATTCACAGGTACTACACAGTGATAGTGTATCAAACCAGTAAAAAGATAGACCACTAATCAATGTATTCCCAATTTATTCTGTTATAGAATGATAGGTGACATCATGTGACGTCACATCTGACGTGACATCTTTATCTGATGTGACATCTATGACATGATTTACATGTTCTTTGGCATATGACATATTGTTCTTAGGCATATGACATACTGTTCTTGGCATATGACATTGGTTTTTAGCATATGGCATACTGTTCTTGGCATATGACGTATCGTTCTTAGACATACGACATACTGTTCTTTGGCATATGACATAAAGTTTTTAGGCATTTGACATACTGTTATTTGGCATATGACATACCAGACATTGAATGGTTTGATATCTGACATCACATTTGAAGTTGCACTTACTGACTCCAAGGTCCTTGACAAGTGTATCTGTGTTCAGTGACTGAAGCTCTTGCCCGTCTATGCGGTTATCACGGAAACTCTGAACATACTCCTCCAAACCCTGGGCCTTTAGCCAATCACAGACGTCATCAATTGACCATTCAAGGAGTACATTCATTGAAGAAGCACCATCTGTACCTTGTAGAGTACCAGTAACCTGCTGGGCACCAGCTATGAAGAATGCAACCAAAAATATGAACAATTTAATCTACAACAGACATTTACACAGATACAACATTGCTATCTTATAACAATTCACACTAGAGATGCAAAGATACACCTACAATGTTATGATTTCTGGTACATTCTCCATAAACAGCGCATAGGATCCAACCATGTGCTTTGGAGTGCCTCCATCAGCCTCCCTAAGCAACTCTCCTTCTACCTATAACAGGCAGACCACCATTTCCAAGACTCTAATAAGACCTTTCTATATCTAGTAGTACAACTAAGTGAGGACACTAGTTCATCTTACATGGAGCAGGTAGATTAGGAGCCTCCCCTTGGGCGTGTAGCAACCAAACTTTGACTGTCCTGTCATTGGAACCACTAGCAAGGTACCGTCCATCGGGAGAGAATGCTACAGTGGTGACATAACTGCAGAACAAAAGTGACTAGATTTTATTTTACACCTGAGAATCTGTTGGCTTGACACTCTACACTCTGGGAACTTGAAGAATACTTTGTACATTCTACTGCATTGAAACTGGCTTGCAACAATCAATTATCAAATGCACAAAGACTCTCTCTACGTTAAGATTTTCTGTTCACGAAATGCAGAAGTACTGATAAATTTAAACTGAATCCGAGTTAACTTTAACTACAGATTTATAACAATCTGTTGTGACAGACTATCAACCAATGAATGCATCTAAACCATGTTAGGCATTAACGACTAACCATCTGACCAATAAGACTCACCGAGAGTGTTCTTCTAGTGTGTACAGCATACTTCCTTCAATCTAACAGAACAGACATGTTGGTATCAAAGAACAATCTGTGACATCCTGATGCTCAATGGCAAGACAATATTACAAATGAAATGTAAACCAAGCTGAAACTGTTGAAATTAGGTTAAATTACATCATTCAAGTGTTACAATAAAAATTCCATGACTTGTGATTGATTAATTTGCCATGACAGGTATCACGGTAACGAAAACATCCATTCTTTTCTCGGATGGCAACTTGATCAGTGCTGAGTTTTTTTCTAAAAACATGGTCCATATAGGGCCGCATATCCATGTATTATGCTTGTCTCTAGTTTAGACAAGTGAATTCAACCTGTGAACATGAAGTAAAATACAGTACGAAATCTCTTGATGCTACTCAGAAGATAAGTAATGTTCAACATTTTGACAAGTTTCTTACCGGGTTCCAAACAATGACTATCTTGTCGACAGCCCTGTAGAAAGAAGAGCATGATGTGTTGAAAATAGTAACAATGATACCAAAATAACACATATGGATGCAAGTAATTAGGGACAGTCTCTCATAATGAACCAATCAAAAGAAAGAATGTTTTACAACATGGAAATCTCACAATCATCAATTCCAGGGCCTTGGAAAATTAAGAACACAGAACAAGGAAACTGACCCTGATGCCAACAGACTTCCATCCGGTGAAAAAGCCACTGCCATGACCTTAGCAGTATGGCCCGTCAGACTACATCGTACCTTGGTCTTACATGCTGCAGAAAGATACAATGGAACTACTTCAATGAAAAGCACAGTCAACTTGTTTCCTATAGTAGAGGTGTGACAGAGGTATTCATTTCTTATTTTCTGGTGATGTAACTTTTGTGACAGCTTTGATGTCCCTTGCTTGATAAACTAAAAATTTGAACCATCTCTTCCTTTTCTTGTTTCAGTAACAAAGGTATTATAATTTACAAACGTACAAGGAAAAACAATAAGATCCCAAAGTTTGACCAGGTTTTCTCCTCCACAAGTTGCTAGAAGGTAAGCTCTCCGATCACTGTTTATCTCAGCATTAGGATCTGAAACCAAACAATTAGAAGTCAAACATCATCATAAATTAACAAGCCAATGTGAATTTATAAATAACTTGTCCAAATCAGTCTCAATAAAACCAGAGACAGTCAAACCTCACCTGCTGAACCAAAAGTTGGAGAGATGACCAGACATGACACGCCAAGGTCATGACACTCAGGGTCAAAGAAAAGCGACTTAGTGTGGCCATAGAGGGCATCCCAAATGCGAAGATCGCCGGAGGCACAAGCTGAAACCACAAAGCTGCTATCAGGAGTGAATGTACAAGCTGTGATGACATTCTCATGCCCATCAAAGGTTCTGCGCAAACAGAATATTATCAAAGGCACATCATGGAACACTCACGATATGAAGTACTGAAATTTGAATATGAACCACAGAAACAAGGCACATACCTGATCAAGGACTTCTTCTGTACGTTCCACAAACACAAGGTACTGTCTGCTGCTCCAGTCAACAACATCTCAGAGTTGGGCGAAAAGCTGCAGACCCTAACGATTGCCTTACTAGGATGCTGCAAAACAACTTGGCTCTCTCCGGTGCGAGCATCCCACAAGATGATCTTACCATCTGTCGAGCAAGAGGCCAAGACGGTACCAAATGGACTGAAGACACACCAATGAACATAGTACGTGTGACCCAGCAGGGGAGAGATGGGTAACTCCTTGAAGTCTTCCAGGTTCCAGAGTCGGACAGACTTGTCCCCTGAGCAGGAGGCTATTGTAGTAGCTGAGAAGCAACAACAGTTGACATCAGAGCTGTGGGACTTCAAGGTGTGGACAAGTGTTGCTGAAGCCATGGTGCTTACTACAATTGCCAACGCATCAAAAAGAAATCAGGCTGTAAGAAGAGGACAGTATGTCGGTAAACCTTTCTCTCTTAATGTACCAGATGTAAACAAATTTTCTACAAAGAAAACAACTGACATCAATGAAAATAAAACAAGCACAACTGATAAGCCATCAGTATTTTTTGGACAACTGAGGAGGAAATCATTACACAAATACAAAACAAGTCATTACAAACCTGCAATTACAATCACTTCATATAAACTGCTTCTGCACATGTTGGATATTTAACAATAAAAAGCAAGTCTGGTCCGAGCCAATTTGGCTCATCAGGCTGGTGTTTATCTCCAGTTTCCTTGGCATGAAACGACTGAGAATATTTCTATTCCCTCCCGGATGGGATGCCAGTCCATCACAGGTTACTTCCCCAGCTAATGCTGGTACCCATTTATACCCCTGGGTGGAGAGAGGCAAGCAGGATTGAAGTGGCTTGCCAAGGGCCACAACATACTGCCAGCAGCTGCATTTGAACCTCCAACCCTATGATTAGAAGCCACAAACCCTAACCACTTGGCCACATGCCCCCCCCCATATCTATCAATATCTCAGCATTTATTAGGACCCCTGCTTCTAACCATGTCATATTTTACCTGATCATGTCCACAATAATAGAATCCACCCTTTTCCCGTGAAATTAAAATCACTGTATGGTGTAATTACTGCTAGGGTCTAATATCAGGCTGACCAGTGTTATTTTAAGATTTTCAACAAACTGTTTAAGAGATTTCAGAGCATATTGAAATCTCTGACTTTAAATACTATACACAGGAAAGGTGTAACCAATTATCAGTACTAGTGTCTAAATCATATGTACTTCATTGCTGAATACATTCAATAATACCAAATAACCACTATGACAGCTGAAACAAGACAGAGAAGTAGGCTTTGTAAATGCTGTTAATTTACACCATGAGGCAAAGTGAATTTGATCACCATCATAATGTCCATCATAATATCATGATTATCATGTCACAACTACAGTACCTACAATCATGGTCCAGATGGTTGCCTAACCTGTATGTATGTAAAATTCACGATTTTCACCATCCACATTGGTAACTTATAAGTAATTTTATGATGTATTCATACCCACACGGTAAGTGAGTATGATTGATTATCGAGTAAGGCAGTTTATTGCGTCACACAAAACGAGTGAAGTATCGAAGTTTTGTTTACCAAGTTGGTACTCTTGCGCCTGACCTCTGAACGAAATAAACAAAACGTATGATCGTGTTCACATTTTCCAACACGAGTCACATATGTGAAAATACTTACACTTGTTTCTGCCTCGGCAAACGGTTGAAGTGTCAAAAAGAATAGATGTGAAATTTGGATTACTGGACAAAATTAGTCAACACGGCAAAAAAGCAAGGCTGCACTGTGTAAACACCACCATTGACACTGATGTCATCTTAATCAGTCACACACGTGATGTGAGGGCGCTGTTTAATTTACAGCGGTGGTGGGCAGGTTTCGAAAATAACAGATGTGATTCGAGAACCGAAGAGTCGGAATACGGAATAATACCTCGAAAAGCAACCAGTACTAGGCCTAAAGCGACTGGATTTATAAAACAATGGCTTTTCTTAAATGGTTTCGCTTGGGTGGTAAGTATCTGCTTCTTCAGTATGTCAGGAAAACATTGGTTCAATGCCAAAAGACAAACGATGTCAAGGAACTGTCATGACTACGCATTACGTGAACAGGCTGGTCACATAACAGGAATCCTACCTGTACCTTTAAAATTGTTATGCAAGAGCATCAGCTAGCTACGTGCATTTTCCGGAAAATATTAAGGGGGCGATGCTGATACAGTTTTTCCACGTCCAGCCTTCATAATTCAACATCCAGGCCTCGTACTCGCTACCAGACATTTCCAGAGATAACAAAATATCTCAGTATCTGACTATATAAAGACAACTCCATTCAACTTTGGAAAGACTGATATTTTCTGAGTTGTTTTTAGGGCATGTTTTAAAAAATTGGTGGTGTTAATAAAATGTATGAATTGTGGACCGTGCTGGCCAAATACATACGTGTAGGCCTATGTAATAATGTATGGAACTCTAAATCTTTAACATTACCAGACTTGGTCCTCCAGGCTCTCTTTGCTTGCAAGGAACCTTTACAACGGACGGTGGTTCATTTGATGATTTTTTTTTTAATTTTTGGATGCCCAGGTATTTTCAATGCAACAAGAAGCCTTCTAACCAGCCAACAACTCACCATCTGTTCTCACCGTGGTTTCTTGACAAGTAGTGTCGGCAGAAATGCTGAAACAGATAGCACTTCCAACAACAGGTGAAAAATTTTATGTTAACCAATCTGGCTTAACCACTTGCCGCCGGGGTTTCCAGTGCTGGACATGTATGCTTTATATGAGTGGCTGGGGTTTCTGAAATTGGGCAAAGGAACTGGACCGTTCAACAAAAGACCGTACTCGGAACAAAAGACCAGGCTGCTGGGCATTACCAACATTTTTTCACTCTCAATAGTGGAGATAATCCAGCCTTGTTTTGAAACAGTATACCACAGTTTGGGGCATTTAGTGCGACAGATTACCACTGGGGACACAGCACTGCTGCTAGCTAATCTGGCCCCTATTGAAAAGAGGTCAGCAGCGCACTCAGCCAGGTTCTTGAACAAAAGAAAGTTACATAACACCGCACAGTCTGGGCTCTTTTTACAAGGCTGCAGGCCTGGCTGAAATACTCTGGTGTCAATAGATTTTGTCTGTCATATTAGAGTGGCCACCAGACAGTCATTCGTGTGGGTGTAAATGTCCATTAATTGAAATGATGAATTTTTGAAGAATTTTGAAAACTCAAAATCTTGAAACTGTCCAGATTATGTACACTGCATTTTTCAAACCACCCGGCAGCAAGTGGTTAATTTAGAATTTAATTAGTGAAGTAAACCATGGGTGTCATGTATTTATACCACAGGATGCCGTTGATTTAAACTCAGTTTTTCACAACCTTATTTTCCCCCTCTTTACATTTACAAGAAAGTTTCACCTGTTAAAATGTTTCTGATAATGAGACGTTTTGAAACCCATGATATTGAATTTTCACAATATTCAATTTCACGATTCACAAAGTTAATGGCTCTTTGTTACTTTTCAGTTTACATCTTGAAATCTTTTAGAATTTGTTTGGGTTTTTTTGGGGTTTTTTTGCATTCTTTTGTGTGCTTGGTTTGCAGACCAGCCAAGACTGGCGTGATGCTGCTGAATATGGGAGGCCCTGAGACGGTGGATGAAGTCCATGATTTCTTGCTTCGTCTCTTCCTGGATAAGGATCTTATACCTTTGCCTGCACAAAAGTAAGAATCTGGGTCACAAGTGACATTCAAACCAAAAAATTGCATTATCAAACTTTTATACATTGTATTTGCTGTTCCATCTTTGCATGAATCATTGGAAGTGTCGTGAGCTGGGCACTCTCATGGAATTACAGTACAGGTGATTTACTGTGCTGTGCGCTACCAAGAGATTTCCAAGGAGAGGCCTTTTCTCCGTGCTTGTGGGAAAACAATCGACAAAGTTCATGTTAAATATTGTGTGTTGTTAACTTGAAAATTGGCCTTGCTGATGTAACATCTTGGTGGCATGCTGTCTTGTGAAACACCCATATTAACAAACTTTGAATTCAAGTCTGGTTCCCTGTAAGCCCAGTGCATGCAACCAGTTACTAGAGCTAAGTGAGATGACCTTGTGATACCAATGAAGGTGCAGGAACTGTTGTTGAGGTGTGAGAACTTACAACAGCTGTCCCTATGCACCGTCACCAGTTAACATGTAATAACGAAGCTTACCAGGAGAGAGTCCCAATGATGTTCTCTTTTATTTCAAAGTGCTTAGAGAGCAGCCATTGATAGAGCCAAGTGTTCAGATTTTTGCAAATGTTACTTATTTTTTTGGGCCACAGCCGACTTGCCCCTTTCATAGCCAAGCGTCGCACTCCCAAGATTCAAGAACAGTACAAAAAGATCGGTGGTGGATCACCCATCAAAATGTGGACCAATAAACAAGGCCAAGCATTAGTCACACTTCTAGACAAGATGTCTCCAGAGACAGGTAACTATCTAACAAGAATTCAAACTTTCTGAAAAAAGTTTTCATTGTTCTGATACAAGTCTTTACCTGGAAGATCAACCAAGATAGTTCTTGAAGCATAAAATCTTGCAGTTTTTCAAGAACACTGGGTATTTTATGTCCTCGTTTTTGTTTTCTTTCATTTTCATTAGCACCACACAAGTACTACATTGGTTTCCGTTACGTGAAGCCACTAACGGAAGACACAGTTGCTGAAATGGAAAGGTAACAGCACTCTGGATGAATAACTCCTTCTTTATTTTAATTTCAGTAATTTTCTTTTAAAAACTATGACACAGCATATTGACACAAGACTATTAACGGAAGGGCTCTAACCTGTGATTGTTATGTCAATTCTTACTTGACACTATAGTGGAATTGTTTCATAGAGCATTATATTATATAGGTTAATAGTTTTTTGTTTGTTTCTTTGTTCCTTCAGGGATGGCATTGAGAGGGCAGTAGCATTCACTCAGTACCCACAATACAGCTGCTCCACTACAGGAAGTAGCCTGAATGCCATCTATAAACATTATTCAAAGCATCCTGAGTTAGCAGCCAATAGCAAGATGCGATGGAGTGTGATTGACAGATGGCCCACCCACCCTGGACTTGTCAAGGTCAGTACAGACTAACTTCTATTAACAAACAGAAACACGCTTTTCAAACCATCCCCAGTTTGGACAGATCAAAAGTATGTACATCCCAAATACTTTGAACTGTAAGTTTTCTCACATTTTAGGAAACTGGAAAGCATCAGTAAATGAATAATGTTATTCATTATTTGACTTTTCCTACTGTGCAGGCCTTCACACAGCTTGTCAAAAATGAACTAGAAAAGTTTCCTGAAGATGTCCAGGATGATGTGGTCATATTATTTTCGGCTCACTCCTTGCCAATGAGTGTAAGTACCATTTTTCAATTGTGTTGCAAAGTAATTCCCTTCTCCTCCGAAACTTAATTTTCATTAGTCTCTAGTCTACTCATGATTATGAAAACACGATAGCTCGGTATCTTATTTCTCTCAAGGAATGTCATGTTTCTGTATCAGAAACATAAACATGTGTTACATTTGATGAATGTTCTGTCACAAGTGACATTTTGTTTGACATGTATGTGATAACAACTTCGACGAGATCCTATCCGGTCTTCTTATGCGTTTTCCTTCCCTCATGCTTCTGATTCAGTCATTTTAAGCACAATATAGAATTATGTTTCTGTGGCTTAAAGAATGAGCCATTAGAATTTGAAATTGGAGTATTAAGACTATTCTTGTGAAATGTTGTTAGGAAAGTACATTGCCAACCTAAATGTACTCTTTTTTGTAGGTTGTAAACAGAGGTGACCCCTACCCAGCCGAGGTCGGCGCAACAGTACAGAGGGTCATGGAAGCACTAGACTTTTCTCACCCCTACAGATTAGTGTGGCAGTCCCAGGTTTGTGATTGGACAAGATTCAAGCATTCATTTCCACCTGACAGCAATTAGTTTATGAAATTGGCAATGTTGATTAGCTAACAGGGAGTAACAAAAGATAAGTGCTTGTAATCAATATATTGTCATCAATTCCGTTCTGGTAGGTTGGACCACT